AAAGTACAAAAAGCAATTTGAGGCAATAAGAGCAAAGCCAGAGGATAGCAATACCTGACTTCAAATACTGCAAAGCAGTAGAGATAAAAATGTCATGGTACTGGAACAAAAACAGATACATAGATTGATGAAACGGAACTGAGAACATAGAAACTTCCCCTAACACATTCAGCTATTTGATCTTCAACAAAGGGGCCAAAAGCATAGGTTGGAGGAAAGACAACCTATTTAATGAGTGGTGCTTTGAAAACCGGTTATCTGTGTGCACATTGAAAATAAACATTTATATCTCATCATACACTAAATTAAAATCAAAATGGCTCAAAGATTTAAATATGAAAACAGAAACATTAAACCTACTGGAAGATAAACTGGTAAAACACTTGAAGACATAAGTGTAGAAAAGGATTTTCTAAACAGAACCTCAATTGCACAGGGAATAACAGCAAAAATCAAATGGCATTGTATCAGACTAAAAAGCTTTTGTACAACAAAAGAATCAATCAGTAAAGAGACAACCTACAGAATTGTAAAAAAATTTTGCCAGCGACTCCTCAAAGAACTAACATCTAGAATGTAGAAAGAACTAAAAAAATTAAACTACCTAAAATTAAAGATCCAGTCAAGAAATGGGCAAGAGAAATGAACAGACACTTCACAGAGGAAGAAATAAAAATACATGAAAAAATTTTCAACCCCTCTGGCCATTAGAGAGATGCAAATTAAAACAACGCTAAAATTCCATCTCATTCCAGAAAGAATAGCGATCATTAAGACACCAAACAATTACAAATGCTGGTGAGGCTGTGGTGCAAAATGAACCTTCCTTCGTTGTTGGTGGGAATGTAAACTACTACAGCACAACCATTATGGCAATCAGTGTAGAGATGTCTCAAAGAACTGAAGTTAGAAATTCCATATGACCCAACAATTCCTCTCTTAGATATCTTCCCCAAAAAGCTTAAAACATTGTACTACAGTGATACATGCATACATCAATGTTTATAGCAGCACAACGCATAACAGCTAGATCCTGGAAACACCCTGTATACCCACCAACATATGGTTGAGTAAAGAAAATGTGGTATCTATCTATCTATCTATCTATCTATCTATCTATCTATCTATAATAGAATACTACTCTGCTATAAAGAATGACAGATTGGAGACATTTGGAGGAAAATGGATGCATGTCAAAAATATAACATTGAGTGAAATTAACCAGACACATGAGCTTAAATATGGTATGCTATCTCTCATTTAAGTGACACAAAGTACAAACAATGAGAATAATGAAGGATGGATAAATGGCAACAAGTGGATGGATCTCTTTAAATAGGGAAGTGGTCTAAGGGCAAAAATGCCAACAGCGAGGAGGAGGGGAAGGGAAAATAAGTACAATAAAGATATGCCAGGTACAGGAACCTAATAACTTCAATGAATGTAAACATTATATGCCATAACACGAGCCAAGATCAGTAATATAAACAAGAATGAAAAATGGGGGGCTGGGGATTTAGCTCAGCGGCACAGTGCCTGCCTGGTAAGCTCAAGGTCATGAGTTCGATTCCCAGTACTGGAAACAAAAAACCAAAAAACCAAAAAAAAAACCAAAAACCCAAAACCAAATAATGTGATAGGGGAACCGGAGGAGGAGGAGGCAAGGAGAGGGAGGGAAGAGAAAGGGAATTAAACAAAAAGAAACAAGCTGCGATGTGTATGGAACCACCGCCCAAGATGAGTGTAAACTGCATGACTTGCAAACATGTACTAATAATATTTAAAACAAATTTAAAAAAGAAAAAGAAGGGGAAATCTAGAAACATATCTGATGATAAAATAATAAGGGGCACTAATATAAAACCTGAATAACTTAGCAGGAGGGAAAGATGAAATTCTTTTGAGTGCACTATTAGAATGCTTGAATGAATCAAGAAAACTCAAGTATAGTTGGAGGGGCTTAGGTGTGGTGGCTGCAGGAGAAATATAGATATTATCATAAAAATCACCTGAGTCCCAGCCAACTTTACAAGTACAATGCAGAGAACTCTTGTCTTACTAGACTTGCTGTTATGTACAGTGGCTCACTGGGGACAAGACAGGTGAGGGCCACGTAAGGGTGAGCCAGAGGATAGCTGGAATACAGAGAAGAGCCCAATAGTCTAGGGAGTCAAGAATAGTTTCTCATACGGGATGACGTGTGGGCAATAGTCTGGTATCTTTAGTAACTGAGAACTCATGGAAAGAGATCAGAGCTCCAATCAATGTGAAAAGTAAATTTTCTACCATTATTGCAAGAGGTTTACGGGGTCTGAAAGGAGCATACAATTTCCAAGTTGAAGGTCTTGAGCTGTGGTAGAGAGGTCTCAGCTTCCACTGAATCTCCATTGGGTGCTCAGAACTGTCAAATACTGACACTTGCTGATATGAAAAGGTGTTTATTGCTTATTTCAGTAAGGGCCAACACCACCCGGCAAAGCTGTAGCAGTACCTCAGGGAGAAACTTGAGAAATAGATGTCTGAGGTAAGGTGGGGGGGTCTTTCAGGGTGGGGATTTGATTGGGATTGGCCAAAAATCTTGATGCCAACAGTATAGCCATGGTGGAATCTGCAAGGGGAGGAACTTTTTAATATTTAAGATATATAACATGTTTTTTCCAGTTTTTAAAATTAGTACAAGTTTGTAATGTATAATGATTCTATCAGGGAGAAATTTAAGGGGAGATATTCCAAGCATTTTCGGGTGCAAGCTGTTGATGCTTTGCATTGACGGGTTGATGGGTTTTGAGGGGAAATCCAGCTATGAAAGAACTATTCACCTGTGGAGTTCTGAAAAGGCAATGCAAATGAAGACATGGATTAGTAAAGTCCTGTTTACTGTGGTTTTGTATCTCCCTGTCCAGGCCAAGTGTGGGGAGAGAAGGTTGTAATTCTTATACACATAGATTTTCATGAGTAATTTGCTTAAGTATGTACTCAGCTTATGTTGTCAAAATCCCTTCATTTCCCTGAATCATGAGGCAGACACCTACTCTTAATTATTTGCTAAACCCTAAGAAACAAATTAAACAACGAGCTTTCACCAGTCTGCTAAAATCCTTCAGGTGGATTATTTGATTTAGCTCTAATAAACACCTTGTGAAGTATGCACTATTAGTATCTTTACTTTCTAGATTAGGAGACTGAGTCTCAGAGAAGTAATAATTAGCTCACAGTATTTTGGCTGCAAATACATGTTTTAAGAAACACCAACAGCGGCTGGGGATTTAGCTCAGCGGCAAAAGCGCCTGCCTGCCATGCGCAAGGTCGTGAGTTCGGTTCCCGGTACCGGAGAAAAAAAACAAACAAACAAACAAAAAAAAGAAACACCAACAAAAATACTCTTTAAACTTCCTTATTCTGTTCTGTTATTTGCATAAGAGAGCTAGAATCCATGTTCAAAATACTCTGGCCTTTCTGTCACTCTGGGGGGTTCTCTTCCCTCTCCGAAGAAACTAAAAAATGGTGGAAACCCAAGGTCTCCACCCACTTTAGTTCAGACTGGTGTCATTCGCGTAGGAATTTCCATCACAGTCGCCAAGATCACACCGCGAGCCCTCAAAATGATGTAGGAGATTAGCCATCTCCACTCCGCCTGGGTCGGGGGCGGGTCAGCTCGGTTTGACTCGGGTCGGCTCGGGTCTGTTTGGCTCGGGTAGGCTCGGGTCGGTTCAGCTCGTTTCAGGTCGGCTCGGCTCGGCTCGGCTCGGCTCGGCTCGGCTCGGGTCAAATCGGTTCGAGTCGGCTAGGGTCGGGTAGGTTCCACTCGGGTAGGCTAGGGTCGGCTCTGCTCGGCTCCGGTAGGATCGGGTAGGTTCGGCTCTACTCGATTCGGGTCAGATCGATTAAGGTCGGCTCAGCTCGGATCAGATCGGTTCGGGTCGGCTCGGCTCGGCTCGACTCGTGTATGTTCGGTTCGGCTCGGGTCAGATCGGTTTGGCTCAGGTCAGCTCGGCTCTACTCGGGTAGGCTGGGGTCAGCTCGACTCGGTTCGGCTCGGGTAGGCTTGGGTCGGCTCGGCTCCACTCGGGTCGGCTCGGGTCGGGTCGGCTCGGCTAGGCTCGCCTTTACTCGGGTAGGCTCGGGTCGGCTCGGGTCGGCTCGGCTCGACTCGGGTAGGCTCCGCTGGGCTCGGGTCAGATCGGTTCTGCTCAGGTCAGCTCGGCTCTACTCGGACAGAATCGGGTCAGCTCGGCTCTGCTCGGCTCTACTCGGTTCGGCTCGGCTCGATTCGGCTCTACCCGGGTAGATTCGGGTCGGGTCAGGTCGACTCGGGAAGGCTCGGGTCAGGTAGTCTCGGGTCGTGTCGGCTCGTCTCAGCTCGACTCGGCTCGGCTCGACTCGTCTGGGTTCGGCTCGGCTCGGTTCGGCTCGGCTTTACTCGGTTAGGCTCGGGCCAGGTCGGTTCGGCTTGGGTAGGCTCGGGTTGAGTCGGCTCGTCGGGGCTCGGGTCGGCTTGGGTCAGATCGGTTCGGCTCAGGAGAGCTCGGCTCCACTCAGGTAGGCTCGGGTCTGGTCGGTTCGACTCGGGTAGGCTCGGGTTGGGTCGGCTCGGTGGGGCTCTGGTCGGCTCGGGTCGGCTCGGCTCCACTCGGGTAGGATGGGTCTGGTCGGCTCAGCTCTACTCCGGTGTGCTCGGGTCGGTTCGACTCGGGAAGGCTCGGGTCTGGTCGGTTCGACTCGGGAAAGCTCGGGTCGGCGCGGTTCGGCTTGGGTCGGCTCGGGTCGATTCAACCTGGTAAGGCTCCGGTCGGGTCGGTTCGTTTCGGGAAGACTCGGGTCCGTTCGTCTCTGCTGGGCTCATTTCGGCTCGGCTCATTTCGGCTCGGCTCGCCTCGGCTCGGCTCGACTCGGCTCGGCTCCACTCGGGTAAGCACAGGTCGGGTCGGGTCAGGTCGACTCGAGAAGGCTCGGGTAGAGTCGGTTCGACTGGGGTCGGCTCTGGTCGGCTCGGGTCGGGTATGCTCGGCTCGGCTCGACTCTGTTCGGCTCGGGTCAGGTCGGTTCGGGTCGGCTCGGCTCGGCTCGGCTCGGCTTGGCTCGACACGGGTTGGCTTGGCTCGGCTCGGCTCGGGTTGGGTTGGCTCCACTCGGGTAGGCTCGTGTCAGGTCAGCTCGGTTAGGGTCGGTTCGGCTCGGCTCGGCTCGGCTCGGCTCGGCTCGGCTCGGCTCGGCTCGGCTCGGCTCGGCTCGGCTCGGCTTGGCTACAGCCCACGGCACCGGCGCTTCTAGCGTTCGGCCACCAGGGGGCGGTACGGCAAGTGGCGTATTCCTCGAGAGGAGGCTGATTTGGGATTATGAGGGTCGTGGGTCAGGCCGGGGAGCCCCAGACCGCTGGGACCAGGAAACGCCGAGGTGCATGCCCAGCCGGCTCGGGCTGCTTTCCTTCCTCCACCGCAGCCCTTTAGCTCCGCAGGGGCTCGAGGCTGAGGCCGGAACCACAGAAGCTACTGAAGTCCGGGCTCAGCCGCGTGAGTTTCCTGGGTGCCAGGAGGCCCTGGGAGGAGACGCCTCACCCTGGCACTGTGGCCGGCTCTGCCCTGCGCCGGACGCCGCCCCAGGGCTCTGTCCCTGCAGGCCCCGTACCTCGGGGACGGCTCCTTCTGCCGCGCCTCCCGCCGCACCCGTGACGCGCGGTGCTAGCCCCGCAGGCCCCACGGAGCGGGACTGGCGTGGGCTTTGCACGTTTTCCTTAGCCGGCTTCACATCCTTGCCCAGTAAGCACTAAGTTAAATGCCCAGTAGGTCCCCACCCGCTTCAGGCAGTCGTTCAGTTGGTGAACATTTTCATGGAAATTCAGCTGGCTCTCGTCAGCGTTCCAAGAGGTGAATTTGATCTCTGAGTGCAGTTCTTGCTTGGCATAGGGGCTGTAGGCGTGCAGAGTGGCAGAGGCCAGGGAGCGTCCAGACCACAGGCACAGCACCCACCGGAAAACGCCGCAGACCTCAAGACGTCTGTCAGCTTCGCAGAGAGATGTTGCCTTCCGTGTTTCTAGCAGCACAACTCCAAGCCTCACCCAACAAAAGTGCCTTAGAAACTTCGTTCACCACAGTTCTGCACAGGGTTGAGTCGCCCAAGCAGGGTTCAAACTTGTGATTTAGCTTCTCTGGGGCGGGGCGGTGGAGTGAGTTAGAGACAAACTGAATAATAATATCACCGGGCATGGTGGCACACGCCTGTAATCCCAGCACTTGGGAGGCTGAGGCAGGAGGATTGCTGCCAGTTCGAGGCCAGCCTGGGCTACGTGGTGAGGTCAAGGCCACCCTGAACTGCACAGCGAGACCCTGTCTCAAAAAAACATGCCTAAACGAAAATAAGATTAGACTGAGGGATTTTTTTCAGCTTTATGCTTTCTTTACATACCTTAAAATTCACTCATTTAAGTATATTTTTAACACATTTAGAGAGCTGTGCAACCATCACTCCAATGCAGTTTTAGAACATTTCTATCATTCCCAACCCCAAATTCTCTTAAACCTATTTGCAGTTAATCACCCGCCTCATCTTTTGCCCTGAGTGCCTGCTTATCTGCCTTCTGTCTCTATATAGTTGTTCTTTCCTGGACATTCAGGAGTGAACGCATCCGGCATATGGCCTTTTGTACCTAGCTTGTATCACATAACATACTTTTCAAGGTCCATCCATTATCAGTACCCCATTCTTTTTTTTCTGGCTGAATAGTATTACATTATGTGGATATACCGACTTTGTTTTTCCATTGGTCAACTGATAGACATTTGACTTGTTTCCACTTTTGGTTATGCATGCTCCTACTGTGAACATTCGGTACAAGTTTTTGTGTGTACGTGTTTTCAGATCTCTACCTAAGGGTGGAATTGCTGGATCATACGGTAACTGCATATTTAACTTTTTTTTTTTTAAGACAGGGTCTCACTATGCAGTTCAGGTTGACCTTGAGCTTGCTTATGTAGCCCAGGCTGGCCTTGAACTCATGGTGATTCTCCTGCCTCAGCCTCCTGAGTGCTGGGATTATACATGCACCACCATGCCTGGCTATATTTAACTTTTTAAAGAACTTTCAAACTCTTTTATGAAGTGGTTGCACTGTTTTTATTCCTACCAATAAATGTATGATGATTCCAGTTTCTTGTCCTCACCAACAGTTTTTTATTATGTGTGTGTGGGAGGGGTGGATCTGGGATTTAACCCAACGTCTTCACCTTAAACCTTACCGCCCCCATTAATTTAATTTTTATTTGGGAAATTAAGGCACTAAGTCGCCCAAGCAGGGTTCAAACTTGTGATTCTCCTGGCTCAGCTTCCCAGAGTGCTGGGATTACAGGCGTGCACCACCATGCCTGGCTTTTGTCTATATTTTTGATTGGGATTTTCTTGTGATGTTAATTTGCCTAGACTTTGATTTTTGGATGTATTTGATATATCTAGTTTCACCCACTTAGAAAGAGAGCTTTGTGAATATTATGAAGATTAGGAACTGAAATGAATGATAGATGGTCTCTCCCTGCGGACAACACAAGTCTCTTGCCAGGAGGTGGAGAAACAGATCGCTGTGGTGGAGGGGGTAAGGTAAGTACTGCGATGGGGCGAGGCAGGCGGGCGGTGTGGGGCGCAGAGCGGAGATGCCCACCTAGCTGGGGAGCGGGGATGGAGGGGAGTATTCGCGTAGCCTTTTCTAGAAAGAGTCTCCATATGCCTCTTCATTTCGTTTTATCAGAATTATCCTTTTCCATAGTTTTAAAAGTCAAATACTCAAGATTTGCTTTTAATTTAAAGGAATTTCTTTTTTCTTCCCCATTCTCTGTGTACCCAAAGCAACTACTTTGTATTCTTTTAACTCTTTGGACATTTCCTTTCATATCTTTAAATAGTATATTCTTATTTGAGAGAGGACTCAGTCCTGCCATGGGGCAATCGCCAGCCTCACATTCATTGATTTTTAAATTGTCCGGCCGCATTAACTTCCTGTGCAGCTACCTTCTGTCAGTCTTCAAGAAAAGACAGCAGGCTTGCTCAGCAGTTAGATACTAAGAGGAGTGAGACAATATATACCTTTCGAAGGAGTAGCTGGAGAATTTTTTTCCTCATTGGTGCTTTAGGTTCATGTAGCTTCAGTAAGCCAGCGTGCAAATGCAACAGTTCAGTAAGACGGATTTTACTTTTATTCACGTTTTTAAGGTAGAAAACAAAGTCACAGACAAGCTGCACGGCATAGTACGGGGGTGGCAAACCGTGACCTGTGCGCTAAGAATTTTTTTTCAGAGGAACAATTAAAATCATTTTACTAAGAGGGCACAGTAACTTTCAGCCTCAGTAAGCAAAATGTTACCCTTCTTTTCTTCGGTAGACTTATTTTACAAAACTTTGTGGTCAGTTATTACTGTATTTTAAATTTCATTAATAAAATTTGGGGGAAACATGTCTTGTCTTTTTATGTAAATACCTACGTGATATCCTCAGTTTTGCATTTTGGTCCGTCATTTCTAAGATACTAGCTATCTGGCCTTCACAGCAAAGTCTGCCAGTTCTTGGTTTAATAGAATCCAAAGAGGAACAGAAAGCATTTGACAGATACTCGTGACCTTGGAAATCGCTTCCCTTCTCCGGTTTTTATTTTCATTATTGATAAAATGGAGATAATGGGTCATGCATCCGTGAGATAAAATCTAAATGAGTGCCCCAGCCCTCTGACTTTTTACTGCGTATACAGATTTATTTGAGTTATTCTTATGTACCAGGAACTTTTAAAGGGATATAGCAGGAAATGGAATACCTGCTCTGGGAAAGCACACCAGGCTAAATGAGGAGAGACGTGAGATGCAGCGTGTGGTCTGAGGTTGGATGCTGATTTGAACAAACTGTAGAGCAGTTTTGAAATTGGAATATGGGTGGGTATTAGATGAGATGAAAATTTACATGAAATAGAGAAGGTTGTTTACTGAGGAGCCTTTGCAAAATGTTACAAACACTGTTACCTCATTTTGGTGGAAGTGCATATATGTAGTAGGCATACTTAGAAAACTCTGGAAGGATATAGACTAAGCTGTCAATAGGGATGACTTATGTGTGGCAGGAATGTGTTTATATTGACTGTTTTAGAGGGCTGAAGATTTAGCTCAGTGGCACAGCACCTGCCTGGCAAGCGCAAGGTCATGAGTTCGAATCCCGGTACCTGAAAGAAACCAAAAAAAAAAAAATTATGTTGACTGTTTTCAAACATATACTGCTTTTGTAAAAAGGAAAAGTTATAATTAAAAAATCTCTACTCATGGGCCTTCCATGCTAGTGCCTCTTGTAATCATTCATATTGTTAAATCTGTCACTTTCTCTGAGGAACACACGTAAGGACGGAGACTAATCCCTTCTTCCCCACGCACCTCAGGGAATGAAGTAGCAGGGAGCTCGGGAAGTGGCTGCCCAGTGCGCAGGGGTACGCCGCCCACTCCCTTGTGGCATTCCCGGTAAGCAGAGCTTCCTTATACTGAGAGCTTTCAAATGGTGTGGGATTTTGGGGGGGTGGTCAGCCATTTAAAAGAAGGACTTTAGAGGCAAAGGTTAACAATGTCCCTCTAAATACCAATCTGGAAAGAGAGACCTCTGCCTAAGGACTGTCTGATCTGATACTGTTGGATCAGTGAACGTCCGGATGCAGTTAAGCATTTGCAACATAAAACTCCACCTCTTATTTTTATTCTAGGCCGATGGTGGACCAACTACTGCCTGGGGACCATGTAGCCCAGCAGCTATATGTGTCAGTGAAGTTTTATTGTGACACAGACACACTTAACCCATTTGCACATTTTCTATGATTGCTTTTGTTCCACAATGGCAACATTTCATAGTTGTGACAGAAGTGGTCTATAGCTCACAAAGCCTGTAATGTTTACTCTGGCCTTTTAAGGAAAATGTCTGAAGACCCTTGTTCTAGGCTCAGCAGAAAACTCTCAGCAGGCATTGCTATGGGGAAAGGAAACATGATTTTATTAACAAATTGATACTCTGATTTATAAACTTCTTTCTTTCCTGAGCTGTATTAGCATGTGTCAGGATTTGTAATTCCAGATGACTCTACGTTGGATTTCTTATCCTGAAAAGCTAAAGTGAAGGCTGGAACGTGAGAAATCCGAGAAATCAAGGTAAATGCTACCCTGTACGCCTTATCAATAGACAGCTAGCTGGAGTTAGGTTCAGCTGGCTAAGATGTACTTGTGCTTCCAGTTTGGTTCCAGTGTCTCCCCCTCTTGGAAGCCTCCTCTGACTCTTTACCCTGATTTCACTGCCTGTGCTTGTACTTCAGCACACCCTTTACAGACCTCTGTCATATCTGAAGGTGCGGCATGGTAAATCTTGGATTCGCTCCTTTCTTTCCACTAGAGCGGGCAGGGCCACAATCACGTGTTCTTTGGTGTGTTGACTGTGCCTAACATAGAGCATCTTGATAGCTTTGCATCCTTGGCAATGCCAGTTCTCAGAACCTGAGTTTTCTTATCTGTCAGCCAGGGATGGCAATAATAGTAGCTACATAATAGGGTTTTTGTGAAGATTAAATGAGTGTCTCAGTTACTTTTCTTGTTGCTGAGACCAAGTACCTGACACCCACAGTTAAAAGAGGAAAGGCTTATTTAGCTCATAGTTTGTAGAGCTTTCAGTTAATTGCTGGCTGGCTTCAAGGCAGGGTGGCATGGCAGGGGACATCTCAAGAGGAGAAACAGTCCATGGCAAAGCGGAGCAGGCAGAAGGCAGCAAGCAGCAAAGTAGCAGCAAGTGACAAGCAGCCAGCAAGGAGCACAGCAGCTCTTTCTGTCCCTTATATTTTATCCAGGCTATCCTTGGGCTGGGTAGCACTCACAACTTTAATCCTAAGACTGGTGAGTCGATCCCAGCTGCACACACCCTACATCCAACCACCTTCAAAAAGCCCCACCTATGACTGCATGAGGCTTTGGGAGACATTTAGATACAAGCCATAACAATGAGGTCATGTTAGGTATTCAGCAAATACTTGTTGAATGAATGAATTACAAGTAAGAAGTTGTTTGAATTGTCCTGGGGATTAGGAAGTCCGAATGAGCAACACCTAAAATAATGTACGTGGTTTTGTTTGCTCTATTTAAACCAGTAATGTATTTTTCTTACATTCTCTGCCCAGACTAGAGTATCATTCATTTATTCTTTTTTTCTTACATTTGTGCTGGGGATTGAACCCTCTCGCTTGTTCTAAGCACACAATGTACCACTAAGTTACACACCCCCAGACCCTCATTCATTTCAAATAGATGAATTTAAAGTGCCAATTCTGCACCGATACTATGCTTAATGTTACGGTTATAGCAGGATATACTCAATCTCTGCTCTCGTGGGGTTTTAATTCTAGTGGGAAAAATGGATCAATAAATAGGTACAGTGGGGTATGTAAGACTATATTATATACTGTGGTGAATAATAAAATAAATGGGCTTAAATTGGAGTAATTGAAGAAGGCTATTACATAACTAGCAATCAGGGATAGATTCTTTGAAGAGGTAACTTTTATGACGAGATTGGAAGAATGAGGCAACCATGAAAAGAGCTGGGGAAAGAATATTCTAGACAGATTATAGTAAGTGGAAAAGCCTTGACGTCAGGAAGGATCTGGATGTTCGAAGAATAGATTGAAACCAAGGGAAGATAGAAGGGAAAGGAGGTTAGATTCATTCTAGGAATAGAGGTCAGCGATTTAGTGATTTTAAGAGGGAGAGTGATATGATCTGCCGCTCTGTAGTTTTTAAAAATATAAGTTTTAATTAAAAAATTGGAGAGATAAACGGAATAAGGGTCCCCAAAAGTGTCCATGTCCCAGTCTTCCAGAACTTTGGAATATGTTATGTTACAGACCCAAGTGGATGTGAGAAGGAGCTTGAGACTGAAGACCCCCGTGGGCACGCTGCACAGGGTTCTGTGAAGGGGGAGGCAGCAGAGCCAGGGAGGGAGGAAGGAGATGTGATGACAGAAGCGGGGGTTCTAGCTAGGTAGGGATTTGGAGCCGCTGTGCTGCTCCCTAGAGGGCGGAGGAGGGGACATAAGGCACGAAACACAGGCCCCTTGATCTTGCTTTTAGCCTCCAAAACCGTGAGAAGTCGGTTTCTGTTGTCTAAGCCACCATGTATGGTGTTTGTTACGGCAGCCCTAACTGACTAACCTGAGCGATTTAGGAAAACTCTTTTGACTGTGTACTGTCACATGGTGGTCCTTAAACTAAAGTGTGCATCAGAGTTGCCTAGAGGGCTCCTTAGAACTCAGAATGCTGGTCCCTCCCCAGAACTTCTCATTCAGTAGGGCTGGGTTGGGGCCTAGTAATTTGCATTTCTAACAAGTTCCCAAGTGGTGCTAATGCTGCCGCATTAGGGACCGCACTTCAGAATGAGAGGCTTCCTACTACAATTCATAGGTTTGTTTCTCACTGGGCCATGCGTTAATAATTCTGAATCTAGGTATGTTCTGTTATTGAGCAAATTAGTGACTGTATGGTGAATAACGAGAGCCAGATTTTACTATGTCAGAGGAAAAAGTTACATGCAAGGAAAAAAGGAGACTAGAATGAGCCTTGTGATCAGAGGTATTAGTGTGAACCCACTGTTCTACACGTGCACACATACACACCACTCTATTCCACGTTCCCACAGAGATAGACATAGAAATGGAAGTGGACATATATTATTTCCTATCTCCGTCTGCAGAGAAGGCCTAGAAGTAGTGATCACTCAGTGCCATTGAGCTACCTAGTACTCAGCTCTTGGGTTTTCAAAAATCCATTTATTTATTTTTGATGCTAGGGGTTGAACCTTGGACCTTGCACATGGTAAACATGTGCCATATGTTGGTGTTAAAAATTCCATTATCCAAATCAAAGTAATTAGTGCTCTTTAGAGAAATTACTGATTCTAGGATTAGGTCAGGGAGAGGATAAGCTAAGCTTGGAATGCCTTCTTTTGCCAGAAAGTACGAATGCTCATGGAATAATGGAGACCTATCAAAAAGACACAGGAGTCAATTTGAAGGGGTCCCTAATGGTGATATCTGGGACAATGTAAGCAACAAAATGAACAATGATAGTAATGGGTTATTCCCCACGGAATAGAATAAGAATCCATGCTAATGTAAAGAAATAACTGAATAAATGAATGGGGAAGACAGGAAGGTACTTTTCACAGTAGAATTCTAAGTAACTAATATAGAAGGAATAATGGAAATAGAAACTTATCATTTGACAGTTACCACAGTAATAATTGTTGCAGGCAAGAATCATCAATGAATGTTAAAATTAATGGACAAAAGCATGAAGACAAAGAGAATATCTATATAATTTTATATAGTATCTGCCCATAAAAATGCTTCTTAATTACAGAAGGCAAAAAGAGTCACTTTATTTTAGAGACACCTGGCAGACACCAGCTAACCCAGGGATCCTTATGGAACAAAATGACATCGTGTGCCTCTTGATACGAGGAGTTGAGAAGGACGCACCATCACGTCTGTAGTATTCTTTTTAGAATGCATAATCTAAACTTACTCATAATGAAATGCCAAACCCCGAATTGAAACTACTCAGTATATTTTAAAAATGTTATGGTAATGAAAAATAATGAAACAGGAAAGACTGAGAACTGTTCTAGATAAAAGAGCCTAAGAAGTCAGATGTGGCCTTGGAATTAAAAAAGGAGATTGGCGAGGCAACTGGAGAAAATTGTACACAATCTATAGATTTGGTTATAATAATGTTTACTGACTTATAACACTGTACTATGGTGTGTAGAATGTTAACACTTGGAGAATCTGGATGAAGGGTGTACAGGGATGCTTGGTCCTATTTGTGTAACTCTTTTGGTAAGTCTATAATTACTTCAAAATTAAAAATGGAAAATAAAACTTGTTTTCCAAAAATGAAACTTAATAAAACTTACCTGCCCTGCAGAATATTCCGGGGTGACCTGATTGCTGTGTGCAGTGTGGGCTGTGGCAGGGCCAGAGGGGAAGGCCGCCAGGAGGAGGGTGCGCCGCGCCGGAGACGGATGATGGCGGCTTGACCTCGAGAGGTGAAGAGGGTAGGTGGGTTCAGAACGCATGCTGGCATTTCCCTGTAAAGGACATGGAAGGGAGGATGGAATGGAAAGCAAAGTTAGCTCTTTAGGTAATATCTTCTGGTACGACAGAATAGACCTCACATGCCTACGCCTGTTTCAATTAGGTAGTGTTGATTCAGAATGCTGTATTTTGTAAGCTGGACTGTTTATCATGGCATTTTTCTCCTCTCTTCCTTCCTTCCTTCCTTCCGTCTCTTCCCCTTCCTCTTCCTTCTCCTGCTCTGACTTGTTCTTCTTTTGAGTGTCACCCAGTTCTTTATGCATGCTGGGCAAGAGCCCTGCTACTGAGCGACATCACTAGTCCTTTCTATTTTGAGAGACAAGCTCACTAAATTGTCCAGGCCGCCCTCAAACTTGTGATCCTCCCAGCTCAGCCTCCTGAAGAGGGATTTTAATTTTCTTTAGCTTTCCCCCAGAGTTTTTAGTAGTGTTCTTTTTATCCAAGGGGAGAAGGGGAAATGGTTTTCTTTGGTCTCCTCCTGTGTTTCCCCCTGCCAAGGAGCTTGCTCTTGCTGACTCTCTTCTCTTTTTCAGGAAGGGTTTCAGTTCTTTCACACAAATTGTGACCTTTACAAACCTCACTGGTCTACGCGGAATTCCACATGGCACACCCTTCCCAACATGTAGGTCTTTACCTAAGATACTCTCTTAACAGAATTTTGTCCTTCAAGGTTCAGCTGAAGAACCACCCTTCCCTCAGATGCCTTCCAGGATCTGCACAAGCTGGACGCAATTCCTCTCTTTCCTAGGTAAGTCATACCTCTTCAGTTTGTTCCTTTTACTTGGCGCACATCACACATTCGCAGGTGTACTCATTACTTTGTACTGGTTTGTATTCACGGCTTATATCCTCTCTCAGATTTTAAACTCTTTGAGAGTAGGTACATGTGTTCAACTTTTGAGTGAAGTTTACTTGCTGTCAGATGCAAAGGAGGCTCAACAGTGAAATGAGTAGATAATTATCCCCATGTTCTTAAACTCTAGCGTTTACTTTCCCTTGTTTCTAGGGAGGGCTTTTCCTGTGAAATGTAGTAACTTCCCTTGTCCCCAGTGATTCCCATTGTAACTTCTAGCAATGTTTCTGTTCCATTGCTTTGGTGAAGTCGCTTCCACCAGGGGGAGCTCCTTAGTGCAGCTACGTCAACACCCGCCCCACCCCCATAAAAGAAAGGAGACTTCCTCAGATAAAACGTCAAATAGCAGAAAAGCATGTCAAATAATAGGAAAATAAAGAGTAGGAAACAGGAACTAAACATCTCCTGAGACTGGACTTGGTCCCAGCATGAGCTGGCTTCTCAAATGCCATTTCACTTGTCATCCTGTGTTTTTGGATGATTCTGGTCCGTATGTCAGAACTTGCCCCCTTCCCAACTGCTTTATTCATTCTGTCTATAGATGTATATGGAGCGCATACACTGTGTCAGGTTTTTTTGTAGATGCGAAGTCTTCATCTGTGAATAAAACAGCTAGATCCCTCACCTCGTGGAACTTATATTCATGTATGGGCAGCAGTCAATAGGTAAGATTCGTGAATAAAACACAGTCTATTAGATAGGGATAAATGTGAAAGAGAAAGAAAAAACAATTCAGGGACTTACAGGTCATTATAAGAACTTTTCTTACTTGGAGAGAGATGAGAAGTACTGAGGAATTTGGAGTATAAAGGAGTGGTGCAATTTGACTCACATTTTATAAAAGGTTTGCTCTGGAAGAGAGACTGTCAGCAAAGAGGAAGGGGATTGATGAAGGTGAAAGAAATGGCTGTAATTGAAGAAAATAATCAAAAAGGATCACTTTGATTGTTTTGTGGAAAGTAAATTCTGGCCCTGGCCAGGATGGTTGAAATTGAATGAGGAAAAGATACTAGGTTTGGGGATATATTTTGAAGGTAGATTCAGCTGGATATGGTAATAGATCAGATACAGGAAAAGAGGGAAATCACGGACGATAGGGCCGCCGTGTTGTATAACTCCAATAACATTGATAACCGTGTGACTGGTGCCCCCTGGAGTTGTGTGATGCAGCATTTATGCCCAAGCTAATGCCACCAACTCTAGTCTGGGAGTAGAAGGATGGAGTTGCCACTAAGTGCTCAGAGTGGAATGCCTGCCTAGCATGCATGAGGGTCTGGATTCCACCAGCCCCAGTACCACAAAAGTAACAAACAGAAAATCTTCTGCTTGGCCAAGGAGCTGAAGGTTGCAAATTCTTGATAGAATTTAGCAACATAGAGTTCACTAGTGGCCTTGAAAAAAGCTGTTTCAGTAAACAAAAGCATGATTAGAATGTTTCAGGAGGGAAAGGGAGGGGTAAATTATGGACAGGGTGCACAGACAAATTTTTGAAGATTTTTGCTAAACAGAGAGGTGAAGAAACAAGGTAATAACTCAAATGGTGTGTGAGGTCAAGCGGGGCATCGGGAGTGGGGAAGCAATAGAAAGTTTGCTCCGTGAGAACTCACTGGGAGTTGAGGTTCACTTGGCCTTTTTCACATGAAGTTCTTGGGGTAGTACCCAGTAATCTTCAAGGACACTGAGTGCGACAAGAGGGGATGTAGCAACAGATCTGAACAGAATGGACTGTAAGGAAACCCATGGATATCTTTTAATAAAACTCAACCCACAGCCTCTGCAGTTAGCCAAAGATAAGAGTATCTTCTTGTGTGGAAGAAACTGGAACAGTGAGGCCCAGTTGTCTTTCTTGCCCACGGGTTGACTCCAGTTCCTTTGCCAGCTTTGGAGGGTCTGGCCTCTGTTGCACTGCAGGGAGACTGTGTGTGTCCTTCTAGAAACATTAGCTATTGTATGGAAGGGAGAGGGAAAGAGATCCTTACAGCTACTATGAGTATGACTAAAGCTCAGCCAGAGTTTGAACCAAGTGGGGAAACTGGCGTGAAAATTCAGGCTATGGCTCCGCTAATAATTTCCTTGGTAGAAGAGAGTATAGTGCTAGATTTGCTTCTTAGCTTTATGTTTACAAGTGATGGCTTTGAAAACACAGGGAAGTTTTTGTGGTCCATGTAGTGTTTCTTTGTGTGTGTGTCTTTTTTTTTTGAGACAGAGTCTCGCTATGTAGTTCAGGCTGGCCTTGAACTCACTTTGTAGCCCAAGCTGGCCTTAGACTCATAGTGATCTTCCTGCCTCAGCTTCCTGAGTGCTAGGATTATAGACATGCACTACCATGCCCGAAATGTAGTGTTTTTATATGACTTTCTTTCCTATTTTCTTGTCTTCCAGGCCCAGCTCATGTGTCATCTGCTCTGCAAGCCATCCTTAAATCCTATCTCAGGCAAAGTGAATCATTTCCTGTCTGAATCTCATTGCATTTTCTCTTGTTCCTTCCTAGAACGTATCACATTATGTTAGAGTGCTGTGTGGTTGGGAACTAAAGAGGCAGAAGAGTGGATAAGCATATGTGCTCTGGAGTAGGCTGCCATTATGGTTTGGATCTTAAACGTCCCCCAAAGGCTCATATGCTACAGGCATGGTGCCAGTCTGTAACACTGTTGGGTGGTCGTGGACCCTTTGGGAGGTAAAGCCTGGTTGCAAAATGTTAGATCACTGGGGCCCTTGAAGCGGGTAGCAGAACACTGGCCCTTCTTCTCTCTGTCTTTGCCTACTTTCATGAGGTAGCTTCTCTCCCACATGCTCCCTGCCATGATGTACTGTCCCTCCATATGATGGGTCACGTAACCATGGACTGGAACCTCTGCAGCTGTGTGACAGAAGAAAGCATCTCCTCCTTATAAGTTGATTAGCTCAGGTATTTGGTCACAGTAATAGAAAGCTGACTAACACAGCTGCTATGTTCAAGTGATTCTTCTTGAAAGCTTCTTAATCTTCCCATTTCTTGGCTTCTCATTTGTCTTGTGTCAGTTTAATAATAATAACATCACTGAGGTTTTCTAATAGAGATTTGTGAAGATGATAGAAATTAATATGTATAAAGTGCTTGCAGCAGTGCCTAGCACATAGTAAGCACTCAATAAGCTTGTATTGTTTATTTCTCTTTTCCTTGGGAAATATGACGATATCTTTATCTTTGTATCATTAATGCTTAGCACTGGGCTTAGTATAGAGTAGCTTAATCAGTTTGTATGAGAATAAGCCAGGTTCTGAAATTAAACCAGTTTAAGTCCTTGTTTAATAGTTATATATGCGTGTAAGCCCTTCCACTGAATCACTCATCCAGTCCTGTGTACTATTCTGTACTGGTTAAGAATGAAGGGTACAGAGTCTAATTGCCTACTTTATAGCTGTGTTTTGTCACATATTAGTTGGATGAGATCACTTGGAAAATGAGAAAAAACAGGACATTAAGCAGAGAGTTGCTGAGCACTTCAATGTTAACGACAAGTGTTGTTAATATTATCACCAATTAAATGATTTAACGACCACCTACAACGTTCTAGGGACTGTGCTAGATACTAGGGTAGAGAGATGAATGAGTCTTGGTTTGTGCTCTCGGAAAGCCCATCAGCTCATGAATGAAACAGTGTCAGTCTGTATGGAGTCTAGCAGAGGAAGGGACTGATTTTATAGGAGGGAGCTTATATTTCCATCAAGTCTACCCCCAAAGACTGCCTGACGTTGGCTGCCTGACTTTTTCCTCAGGCAGGGTGTTAAGGTTTTATAGAGGGGAAAAAGCAAGGTATTAAGGTTTTGTAGAGGAGGAAAATTCTGAGTTTTGTATTTGAGAGTTGCCAGGTCTGGGATATTAATACTAAATAAATATCAAAATCCCATTTGTGATTCATTAGAAATGAGTTTTAGAGTAGATTTCTCCCATCACATTTCCTTAATAAGACCATTTAACAAAAGGCCCCTTCCTGTATTTTGAAACTCGCAGAAGTTGTTCTGGGCAAACAGTGTGCTGTCAGGCTTTCCCAAGGGCAGCAAACATGGTTTTGAATAGCTTTCCTTGGGCCAAGCTACTCTTTCCTTTTGCAGTTAAGTAAGAGGACTCTCTCAGGCAAAAGAGTACACTTCAGATGCCTCTGTCCTGCCCACTCCTTCCCTCCCCATAAATTTTCTGAAAAGGTTGACATTTAGACTCTTCCCATCCTCACCACAGCAGTCAGGCAGGAGAGAAGCAGAGAGTAGCTTATTTTCCAAGAAAAGTCTTGGGCCTTTTTCTAGGTCACTCTTTTAATAGGGGCCTCTCAGAGATGGGGGGACTAGGGTTATATTTAAATTATGGAGATTAAGGGCAGGGTGTGGGTAGAAGGAAACCTTTGCCTTTTTGTCTCTTAGAAAACCAATAAAGCCATTGAAGCCTGTAGAGCTCTCCCAAGTAGTTAATGAGAACAATAGAATTTAGAGTTCCTGGTGTTCCTCTAGAGCTGATTTTGGCAGATGATAAGCAGCTTGTAAAAGGGCTTATTATTTGAGTAGAGCTTTGGCTGCCTGACTTTTAAGGTTGATTATTTATTTTGCATGTTGTATAACAGGAGCGTTGGGCAATGCTCAAAAGAGAGGCCTTCTGGGTCAGAGATGTGAGAGCGTCTCAGATTGTCTCCTCCCAGCATAACCGGGCTCCAGCTGTGGAGTAAGGGGTGAGCTTGTACACAGGACCCAGGCCCTGGTCCTTGGAGAGCCCCTAACCACCAGCCAGGCTTTCTCACTGGTTTCTTTAGAAGTTGAAAGAGTCGAAATTTCCATCAAGTCTACCCCAAGAAAAATATTTCTGTGTGTATATAAGTTCTCAGACCTTCACTGGTAATGTGACCTGCCTTTGAAAGAAATGTTTT